TCACGTCTTTATTCATACCAGGCCAACAAAAGCGTTCGGCTATAAGTTCGATTGTTGCACGAGCACCTGGATGAGAAAGACTGTGCAACGTATTGAAGACGTTGCGGCGATAATGTTTTGGTACTATTGGACGATTCCTACCTGTAGATGTGTCACAGAGTAAGGTTTCCTTACCTGTTCCCATCTGCCTAATACTTAGTTTTAGAGTTGTCGAGGATAACTCATGCTGAAGATCAGTGTCTTCTTTTTGAAGCTGAGCGAGTTTAAGAAGGTCGATTCCTTGGAAACTGTTCAAGGAAGTTATTCGAGACAAGGCGTCTGCGACTACATTGTTAGCTCCAGAAACATGTTGTATGTCTAAAGTGAACTGCGAGATGTAGTCGAGTTGTCGAGACTCTCGCGGTGAGTACTTGTCTGAAGATGAAGTTAAAGAGAAGGCAAGATGTTTGTGATCGGTAAAAAGCGTGAATTCTCTTCCTTCGATGGAATGTTGGAAATGCCGTAGAGCACAATATATAGCTAGGAGTTCCCTACCGAACGTGCTGTACCTAGATTCCGCGTCTAGCAACCGTCTCGAAAAAAATCCTAAAGGTTGCCACGAGTTGTTAACCCATTGTTGTAAGACTCCTCCGATTGCTGAGTCGGATGCGTCTACGGCGATACTAATGGGCGCTTGAGTGTCCTGATGAGGAAGCAAGGTTGCTTTAGCGATGTGTTCCTTAACTGTGGAAAATGCTTTACGGGCTATGTCGTCTAAACTAATTGATTTCGCATTTCCACGAAGCTGGTCGGTTAACGGTTTCATAAGGGATGCGCATTTGGGTATGAACCGTCTATAGAAACTTACAAGTCCGTTGAAAGTTCGTAAGTGCTTGATCGTGGTCGGTTCTGGGTAATCCAGAATGGCCGCCACTTTGCTCCTAAGGGGGCGGATGCCTTGGGCATCAATGGTGTGTCCTAAGAAGTCTAAGGAGTTTGTTCCGATTTGGCATTTCTGTATGTTGACAGTAATGCCATGCCTTTGGAGTCGATCGAAAACAATGTCCAGATGCTTGAGATGCGATTCTGTGTCCGGACTTGCTATTAGACAGTCATCAACATACGCATGTACGAAGTTGAGACCTCGGAAGACGTCGTCTATAAACCTTTGGAAGGTTTGAGCCGCGTTTCTTAAACCAAAAGGCATTCGTAGAAATTCGTAAAGACCGAAGGGAGTGATGATGGCGGTTTTAGGAATGTCGTCAGGTGCCATCGGGATTTGGTTATAAGCGTTAATCAAGTCGATTTTCGAAAAGACAGTTTTACCTTTCAAGGTAGCTGTCAAATCGTGAATATGAGGCAGCGGGTAACGATCGGGAATGGATTTCGCATTCAGACGCCGATAATCACCAGTTGGCCGCCAATCATTGCTGTCCTGTTTAGGGACCATGTGCAATGGGGATGACCATGGACTATTCGATGGTCGAGTTATCCCTAGGTCCATCATGTGGTCGAATTCGTTTTTAGCTAACCTAAGCTTCTCGGGAGCGAGTCTTCGAGCTTTCGAAAATACAGGTGGTGCTGTAGTCGAGATGTGATGTATAACATTGCTGGTTACACAAGGCAATTTCGATTGCGATTGGTGTATCCCGGGGTATTTGTCGAGTACTGATTGGTACAAGGGGTCTATGGTGTGTTTAATCGTGACTGGGGATAACCTGCAACCAGAACAAGGAGTTACGCAAACAGATAGTTTAGTGTTTCCATCTATTAACCTTCGTGAGCGTGTGTCGATGAGTAGATTGTGGTGTTGTAACAGATCGATACCAATGATTGGCATAGAGACATCTGCAACCACGAAAATCCGGTGTATGGGTTTGCGTAAACCCACGTTAAGGTAGACGTACCTTTTACCGTAAGTAGCGATCGGCTTTCCGTTTGCCGCCTGTAAACTTAAAACACACTCGCGAAGTCTGTCGTCGGGATTTGCTGGAAGAACGCTAACTTCTGCGCCAGTGTCGACGAGGTAGCGAACTTTCGTAGTCACATCCGTGACATATAAGAGGCGGCTGTGTTCGCCGACTACGGTTGCCGTTAACGCGTGCCGGCTGGGGAGTTTCCCGAAATCTTATTCGTGTCAGTCGATTTTGAGGTCGGATAATTGCAAGGTTTCTTGCAATTTCTGGAAAACTTGCCGTACTGGTTATGATACCAGTACCAGTCGGGATTGTCTGTCTCTCGTGGTCCAGAGCCAGATCGCTTACGGGAGGCGCTTCTACGCGGGGTTTTTGACCGACTACGGTCATTGCGAACTCTAAGATATCGTGTAAGCGTGTGACATAGTTCGGCCATGTCAGTCGAGATCGATTGGGGTTTTTCTTTGACGGAAAAAACCTCGGCCTTAGAAAATTTGGTGATTTCCAAGATTCGATCGGCAGATGCAGCTAGTTCATCTATGGCATTGTTTTGAAATGAAATAAGCACTGCCTGCACCTGTTGAGGGAGTTTAGACAAGAAAAATTGTCTAAATAGGCCATCATCGAAAGTTCGTTGGCCGATGACTTCTCTCATTCTAAGCAACATGTCCGTCGCAGAACCATGTTGCAAGTCGATATTGTTAAGGAGTTGGTCTAACCGTTGTCGATCAGTTAGGTCTCCTCGTTTTAAAATCGATAGCTTAAGCGTTTCGTAAGGTTCAGGAACATCACTAGTAAACATACTAGGTGTTACGTACCTGTTAAACTCGCGCGGTAACGCCTTAACTACCACGAGGAAACGTGTGCGCGAGTCCGTGCATGCAAAAATCGGCTTCTGCATAGCAGAACCAGGACTCGATATTGTCGGGCCAAAATGGCGTTAACTGAATCGAAATAGGGGGAATAGACTTAAACTTAAGAACCTTAGGAGAGTGTTTCGTCATAGTAATATAGATAACGAAAAATGTCTAATTAAAATATATCCGTGAAAAAAACTGCGAAAAAAAGTATATCACAATATATAAAATTCAAATAAAGAATAACAATGAATAATTATATTCCAAAATGGAACAGACTCACAGTATATTGATTTGGTGTACCAGATCACGTCGGGTTCACCAATGATGATGCAACGGATGTTCTAATTTTACAACTAGTTACCAGTAGCACCTTCTATATTCGATCGTTCCCAGTCAGATAGAAATCAGAAGTCAGACGAGAAGAGGCAGGAAAGATATATTTGATTCGTTACCAATATATCGAGGACCTTTTCTATGAGCTGGCTAATGAAACGTAGGAGCTGTGTCCCACGCCGTGTTGAAACGTGATCTGGTGCGGATGCATGACCGAAAGCCTTCAGATAAACAAGTCCACTTAAACAACGTGGTCAGCATCCAATGTCGAACACTTAATGAACTATTGATTTTGGGGAATTATTTACAGCTACAGTATTGTATTAGGAATTCAAAATTAGACAGTCATCAGACACAAAGGAATCGTTAGTTCATACAAACACCACAAGTTTGTAATAAGAGCTCTATCATGTACAAATTATTCGTCACTTTATACAAATACAACAAAAATACCTCGAATTTTATCCATGATTCTCATTGGTCACTTTAGGGACAGTTCAAGGTCGTTAAACCCGACAGTACTCAAATTGCTTTGGGAGGATGTTCTGTTTCTGTCCGACAATATCCAAAATATCTGCAACTGTCCACCACCCCACACAACGTAGTATTAAATCAGAAGTAGGGTCTTCCTTATTTATTAACTGCTTTTTGTTGGCAAATCTCTACTAGTCATGTGTGTTGACATACGTATGTAACATGTTACATAGATATATAATTATACGTATACGTATAATCACAATTATACTAATCATTAGCAATAATAAGCAAACCATCCCAAACATTTTCAGTTATAATTTCACTTATCTTATGGTTTGCCTCGACCATAAGTAACTCCGATACTAAACTGATATATTGTTTCCCATCCCCAGCTTTATAGACTTTTTTAAAATGCTGATTAGCATCTAGTTATATATATCAAAGCATGGATGTTTTCCAATCACACACTGTAAGCATTTTCTGAAGTAAGCACTAATTGCCTCTATTAGTTCCAGTCCAGTAATGTATCAGTTTCTATGCTTATAATGAGTAATTTAACACTTCATTTCGAATGGAGATGTATATATCAAAGCAACCCGTTAATTATAACTGCTGTATTTTCTATGCTTCTCGTAAATCTTCCGTTTAGGACTGTCTGTACATCCCAAGTATACTGGTAGGAAATTTAAGTAATAAGACCTTATATTTGCTGGCGCAACCATCAGTCTAAGTTTACCTCTCAACTATGGTTCCTTAGGTGCAGACTGGTCTGCTTTTATACTGATTCGCTAATTGATGTGCAGTGAACAGTGACTAGTCGATATTTTTTCATTTGATATATAAAAATGCTTGCACAGTTATTATGACCACAGTGGCGAAACCATGTTGACTCACTGGTTAAAGACTTTAACAAGTCACCAGATGTTGAAGTTCCTGGGTGTCTCGTACTCATTTTTAATGTGAAAGTCCGACTTAGCCGTGGTGTTAATCTGGCTGTAAGGAGTTGAGTATACAGTGGGTCACGAATCAGTTAAACATCCTACCTGTGGAACGTGATCTCTTCTAGGTAAGGGCGTTTGATTACTGTGAGTTTCGTAATCGCTGTCCCCGAGGGATTTCTCACATTAGTAGTAATAATAGTAATAATAAGATAACGTTAAAAGGCAGGGGGATACTTTTCTATTCAATCGCTGTCGCGCCAAGTTTGTCGTGGTTTATTTAGTTTCTCACTTAACCTCCTGTAAATTGCTATGCTTTTACTGTAATTAATAGTTTGAGTGTCAACGTTTAATTACTTAAGGGTTCAAGTAATTGAATAACTAACAATAGCTTTATGTATTTCATAGTGTTTCACAGAAGTTCTAATTATTATTTTTACTTTTCCAACGTATTTCTTATAGATGATTTAATAATTGTTTGGAATATCAAAAGTCTAATGTCCCTCTCATCAGACCGCACAAAATGCCTTGCAATTACTTTCTGCCGGCAGTTACAACCGTCACGTCTTACTTTGCATGTGTTTGATTTGTTTATTTCTTTCAAGTATATCAACGTTACACATCAACACAATTCATGGCTTTCTCAAGCTATCCAAAACTGTTATCTTATTGGTCATGTTGAACCATACTTATTATTGATAGGTGGATCTTCCGCACATTTGCAAACTATAAAATTATCATGGGACAGAGGCCAACTTAAATCTCCTTTTGGTTTCTCAATCAACTCAGTGTGTATGTTTTCAGTTAGTTTGTAGTTACTCTTCATTTCTTAATGTATCAGATATGATGTGGCTCATAATACATTCTGTTGATCACATATAGTATTCATGAGGTTTTATACCTAATATCCTTTTTTAATCCTTTACGTTTAACGATGGCATCTTTATTCTTCTGATTTTATAACCAAGTAAATTTATACCTTAAAGCTGTTGGTGACCAAAAGTTCTCAGCCTTATACATTCTTTCATTCATAGCTGTAATTAATAACCAATACATAGAGTCTGATAGACTATTTTTCTGTGTACTCTAATCTTGTTAAACAGGTCGAACATGTTGTTAGGTATAAGGATAGCGTTTGTTGATAACTCTCTAAAAAACTGCTTGTTCAGTCGTTTTAGTTTTCACTAATAGAGTATACATAACCAAAATCAGAGCTTTCGGTTCAGTAAAATAAATAACACATTGTACGAATCCGATAGCACTGATCGTAACAGCTTTCAAATGTCTACAAGTGAAACATAATACTGTTTCATTCAGCGGAACGTTTCACACCTCAAGAATTTCAGGATGCTAATACTTAATTGTATTTGTAGTAAAGTAACGCGTATGACGTATTTATCAGACTCCTCTCCTGATAACTAAAACGAATTTATTTACTAGTTGATCTACAAATGCTTACAAATGATCATGTATATATTTCGTTCTATATTCCGTACAGCAGCAGATAATGTACGTCTTAAAACATTTTAGTCAGCGACTAGTTGTTCAGTCTTCTGATATCAAATTACTGATGAGCTATAAATCGATAGAAGTACACCCGATCGACTAAATTGTAAATCTACTCATTTCTCGTCATAACTACGGAACTGTCCAATCATTTTTCTATTAGACCATGTTAGCCCCTTACTCAAAATAATATTCATATAACCAATAGTTTAGATACGTTATTAGCTTCTTAATAACTTAATACAAAAGATTTCTGACACATTGGTTTAATGACTATCCTGGTGAGTAACTTGTTCGTTATCTCTAAGCAGCCATTAACTGGGTAGAACAGCCTTTCGTAAAATTCTAGTTACATCTAATGGAAACTGAAAATAAATAAACAAACAATTTACTTGATAAACATATTAAAAGTCTCAAGCTACTCATACGTTTACCATTTTTAGGGAATCTGAGTGTATATCATAACTTTCAGCAGCCTAGCATTAATTTGCTTTCAAACTTGCATTTCCACTATATGCATCGGAGTAATGTGCAAATTTAGACATCAACCTAGGGATACAGAACAGTGGTTCTTGCTTGAAACCGTACTCAAGAATATTGAACAACTTGCCTACTTACCGCATACCATCACATATGATCAGTATTATTTGTTCATTATGCTGGAAAATTGATTGGTTTTGTATTATTGTCTTGGCGTTCATAGCAATTAAAATTGTTCCTATACTACCTGTTTACATGTTCTGGTCCTTTCTATAAATTCTATCTAAGAATGATGTTTATTCTTATAGCAGATGTTGGTTCCTGGTTCTTGGAGACTTCTCAGTTTAATGCAATGCGTTTGGAGGAGGTTATCTGTCAACTAGTTTGGCAAGTTACACAATCCGAACCTAGTTGTTCAGTAGAACGTCTAGTCAAATATCTTGAAGACGTATATCGCAGCATACAGCTTCCTATCCCTTCACTAGAAGATGTGAATAATTCTTTGGCAGTCTTAACTCGAGCTGGAGCGATATATTTTAGCGGTAATTAAAACTCTGTTATTTCTTGTGTATTAATTCATAACTGAATATCTAACTAGTTTGTTTTACTCATTATTCAAGCATGTTTTTTATATTTATTAAAGTGGACTCAGTTTACATTAAATGTATAGATTATATATGAATAATCTCAGGGATTGGAATTTAAGTAATTATCCAGCTTTTTTTGTCGAAGATAATAGTATTCGTAATTTGTACTCATATATGAATTTATTTTTAAACTAATTCTGAAATAACACGTCAGCAATAATCATTTGCGTAATAGGAAAGTTGTTGACTAACATTTGAAGCTATAGATCTATTGTACATCAGAGTATTTAGCTGCAAATTGATTTTTTTTTACCAAGTTTAATAACATTTTTGTATTTTCATTATAATTTTATACTCTCTCATGGAAGTTAATTCGGTGAAGATTACTTATGAACTCAGTGTTAGATCAGTAGTTTTTTATAATTAATTATGACAGTCTAGTTTATAAAATGCTTTAATAGAAATAAATGGATCAGTTTGGATAAGAATATAAACAAAGCTCCATGAATAAAATGGTAAAGATCCAAACGATCAGATTCATATGAAAATTAGGAATGATCTGAACGAACAAGAGTTTTTATTTATGGAATCTAGTAATCCTTACTGATAGTGTGAAATCACCAACCAACAACATTATCCGTTCTATAAAACTATGCGAATGAATATCAAAGGTTTTAGGATGTGTAGCAAACAATTTCTTTTTCATAAATCTCACCCTGCATGTTTAAGCCAATTTAAGTGAAATCATTCCCGTTAGTTTCTCAAGAGTTGCTTCTGACTAAGAATGTAATATACTAACCCAAGAATCAGTCAGTAGCCTTTGTTATCACCTGTAAACTGTCACTGATCGTTTGTTCAATTTTTCAGATCATGAACATATACATTTAGATATTTTACTAAGTAATGCGTATTTATGTATTTATAATTCCATAGAGTTTTTGTATACATTGAAGTAGAGAGTTTGTGGCGTGTTGAATTTGAAGCCAATTTTTCTTACAGACTAACATCAGAACCATTGAAAACCATAGGTACTCGTCCACTGTTTCGTCCCAGACTGAAGTTCCTCAGCTTTCTTATGGCTAAGGATTTTATTTATATATACGTGTTGTGTTTCATACTTATTCTTAGTCATGTTAGGTCTATATCCATCTGTTTCTTCTCTTTTTTATCTCTCTATGTACATTTATACATCCAAAATAGGTCACGGATACAATCTTCTGACACCTGAAAAGTTAGCTGTTGCAAAATGGCTTGAAACTGTACCTGAAATATGTACAGACACTGAAAGTGTCTTGGATTGTCCAACTTTAAAATCAGCCCCTCTAGCAGAAACGGAGCCATTCGCACAAAATGCATCTTTATCTGATCCAGTTAACCGTTGTAATATTGTTCAAAACAACGACCAACTTCGTAATGCTAAACATAAAGTTGGGAATTCTACACATTATCGAAACACTAGTGCTCTGGTGCCAGTCCCTGAAAATCTAGAACTAGAACATTTGCTCAAGTCTTTCAGTGCACATTCCATAAGTTCATATCACCTTCGAAGTAATCATATAAGTCATTGCAATCCGGTTGTATTTGTTTCACCTACAAATAGTTTAAAATACCTCAATTCTCAGTTTCCCCTAACTTATAAAACAAATGAAATCAATAGTAATTATAAACCTAGAGTTATAAAATCAGCAAGAGAAAATGTTAGCAAGTTTAGTTCAGCTGATGTGAGTGATTCTCTTCAGTCGCACACGGCTCGGTCTAAAATCAAAATCCCGCATCATTCACAAATAGAAACACCTTCATTCGCCAAATATACTAAAATACCATCGAACAAAAAATGTAAGTTCTTTTCCGTAAATTAGTCTTATATATATATATATATATATATATATATATATATATATATATATATATATATATATAATGTTCGGATAAATTCCGTAATTGTCAATATTTCTTGAGAAATGTTTGTGGTTTACATTTATCTTGGGACGTTTCATCTTTGTACATTGAGTCTCTACCTTATTTAAGCGAAGAGTTTCCAAACCCAAGTGAGTTGTCATTAACTTCAGCAACATTTATTGTAGATGTTTGCGACGTTAATTATCGTAAAAAAACTCTTTTGTAAGCCTACTTCTATAAATGTGAAGAGCTCTTCTGAATTGGATACTGCTCAATGTCTTCATTCGAAACCTCATTTATATTTAGTACTCTGTGCATAAAATTTATGTTAGCCAAAGGGAACTAACATTCAGGCCAACGATGTATTTATAATTAATATTGTTCAGTGATAAAAAACTAAAGTACATTCACAATAATCAATTTACCATAATCCAATTCATTAGTTAGTGTTAAACAAAACATAATATCCGTAAATAAAATAATCCTTTATAGTAATTTATAGTTCATTTTAACAGATAAAAGTATTTCTTGTAAATGAATCTTTTGGCTTTTAAAACTTTTTCAGTACTCTAACAAAAACGTTATTCACTTGTCTCGATAGGCTTTAATAATTTTAATAGTGATCTCTCTCCCTCTCTTTTATTTAAGGGCATCATTTTGTTTCTAAGCAATTGTATAACCAACTAGTTTTTTTAATGGTAGTAATTCATTCATAAGCCAGTTTCTTAAATGAATTTTCATAAATATTATTATGTATATCTATTGAACTAGACTAGATGAAATTTATTTAGTGCCAAGATTTTCGGCTTAGCACTATCCTGATATTAAAACTCCCACATTCTTACAAAATTCTACTGTGGAAACATTACAACTTTATTTGAATAAATATTAATTTACAGACTTGTTGTGATGACAATATATAACGCTCTTGTCCTGTTATATACATGGACATTGTTTTAAAATAAATATTTTATTCAAAACAACCATAATGTCAAGATAGTAGAACGTCTTTCCTCTCTTTTCATTTATGTTTATCATTATCTTATTACCTGTGTAATATTAATTACCACTGTGTATTCGATTTTCCTCTGCAATCAATATCTATTGCTTCACATCCTTTGCTTTTTATTCGGTTGGTTTCCTCTATATGTACTGATATGCAATGTGTGGAAACTTGGGACAGTACATATCCCCTGTAGGTCTTACACATTACCTATGACCAACATACTACTAGATTGACAATATTGACAGCTAAATATTCGCAGTCAATTTCTTATCGACGACAGGGATTAATTCAGAATACCCCTGAAGCGACATCATGTTATTTACACTTTATTTTATTGTTTAAATCCATCTTAACAGTGCCGAGTACTCGTTTAATATTTTCTTAAGAAAAGGTTAACTTTCTGTAAGTTTGCCAAATAGATATATTATGGAAATACGTTTATTATATGATTACAAAAAGGGCGTAAAAAAGTATATTTCAAATTTCTTCTTAATCACTCTGAAGTAGCATATTACATGACAATTTGTCGTTAATAATATCAGGTAAATCCTATCCCATGATTTGTAAACTTCACTTGTTTACCGTCTTTTGGTAAATTTATAGATATTTTATCTCTTATTAAATACATGCTCAAAGGTCTGGTAAGATTTATGACAGTTTTTAGGGTCTAAATATGTAGTTCACACGGCAAACGTTGCCCTTTTAATTCTACTTTGTTTTGTTTTCGCATCATATTTTAATGTGTATGCCACTTCCATGATCCATTTTCATCTGTATACAGTCTATCTAAGCTAAGTTTAAAAAAGGGACTCTTAGATAGATCATTGTATTTATCAGTTACCTGACGTTACTTCCGTATTTAGCTGTCGCCTGTGTAAAACTACAAAACTTTATGTACAGATATTCCTTTATAGATAAGATTTGTTCGTTTTTTATCAAAATAATGTATATAATGTATATAATAATGAATATATTAATACTACACATGTTGTAAGAGATTGTTAACGACAATACCCAAAAAGAAGTATGTTGGACAAAATGTATGTAGACAAACAAGACGTGAATTGTACGGGTGATTATAAGATAGTGTTGCTTTTTTTACGGCTATCTTTTTTATTGAAAATATAAGTTAACTTAAAAGAATCTGAATTCGTCTGAGCCTATGGTTCTTAGTTTTCTGTAGTTACATCAACTGCATGAATAATAGTAATTAACTTGTGTTAATGGGCAATTAATGTTGAAATTTCCATTATTGCTAAACAGACATTGCAAAAAACATTCCGAAAAATATACTTTCATTAGATTGTTGCACCTGTCTTATCGCTTGAAATCTTTTACTTATTCCATTTACAACAAAATCCCCTCAACTTCTCACTTTATATTATAATAATTTACAAAGATATTATTATGCTTCTTTTAAAGTGTTTTTTAAATTTGTAAATCATTTGACTATATTGTTACCAGTGAAGAGAATAAGCATATTCTAAAGCTTATAATGCAAATGAGATGTAATATTTATTGTTTCTTTGGGCCTGGGATAGAGCGGAAGATATCCGGATAGGAGATCCAAAATATACTCAGATACAATTATTCTAAGTATATAAATATATATTTATTCAAAAGCTGAAAGTTTGTATGTATTGTAATCCGTACACATTGTTGCAGATGCTCTTCAAATAAGTATTTCAAGTCATTGTAGGGAGTATATATGTATACATTTGTCAATGTGACAGAAAATTATTGAGTATAATGCTTAATAACATGAATCTTGGTTAACAATGTATACCTATTTTTAAGTTTAGCTATACATAAAATAATAAAGTAACATTTCGCCTCAAAGCGTTCTAAAACAAACTCCTTTGTCTTGTCTGTCAAAATGAAAACACTGCCCTAATTCTATCATTTTTAAGTGCTTCTTTTGATATAGCTGTACTTTCTGTACCAATTATTTCGTCGTTAAATATGAACTAGTCATAATTGACATAAAATCTGAGACAAATATTGATTAGCTCAAGTTGTAGTACCAAATCACCACAACTAAATACAATTAAAAATGTGTATACCAAACACATCGATATAAACCACGCACTAATTATAGTGAAAAAGACCAAACATTCAGAATACGGTTTGAGTAATAATTGTCCCAGAGAACTCAGTTGGTGAAGATTAATAGCCTGATTCTCCATCTTCGCATGGAGTACCCTACAGCGAACTCCGGCGCTGCCTACTCGATCGTTTTATGATGCGCAACTAGTACTTCAAAGACACATATGATTAAAAATATAGAGCCTACGCATGTCTTATGCTTTCATAAGTCATATCTCACAGGTATAGAATAGTACAGAGCGAACTGCTCCTCATCATACTAGCCCTCTGTCTAGCAGACAAACACCACAGGTGGTCCAGTGAGACTTCCAAAGTATGTCAATTGCTCAACTTCTTCAACCACTCCACTCCCTATGATCGACTTGGGTGACTAGCTCTAAAACAGAATTTCGTATCTGAAGGAACATCCTAACCATACTAGTATTACTACTCAAGACGTTTAGGAGACTGAATTTTGTCAGGATTATCACCAAACAAGACGGTGTCATCTGTTTATTCTTAGTCAATAAGTAAATATGCTGACAGGAGATAAATCTCTATGATGTCAGATAAAGAAAGTGTAATTTATAGGATAGTAACTATAACGAAATAAAGTTGAAAAGGGAGGTAGTGGGCATCCAGATGAAACTGAACTACCATTCTTACAGATTTCCAGGATCAAGTCATCAGGTGTCGCTGCTCCCTTGCTTCAGATTTGCTATGGCCTTTTCAATTTGATCAATAGTCTCAGTAAAGTGGTGAAAAATGTTTTGATTTGCCATCTAGATCGCTGGTAGTTACAGGCTACCGGAAGGTAGTTGAAAGCTTCTGTATCTATTTCGCCCGTCGTTCCAGGCTAAAAATAGATCAGGGTTTTAGCTTTTTCTCAAATAAACCGATCAACAAATGACTTTTTAGGACCTTTCTAATACGTTTGAAAAGTTATCTATTTGTATTTATCGACTCTGTTTTCTATTTTTCGCGTCCGTCATTTACGGCTTATTTATTTATTTATTTAAACACATATATATTAGTACAAAAGGGCACCAGATACATATGCGCCACACAAAATAATGAAAGCAGCAAGAGAAGGGATGAAAAGATAAGGCGGACTGAAATGTACAACCAGAAGACTCTTTCAGTTAAGAAAGTTAGAACCACTCTTTATGTAGAAAGTAAAAGAAGGTTGCAGCAGGTTCGTCACTGGCTTCTATTCTGAGCCATATCTGATAACGTCTCTAGCCACTGTGTTGCACCATCTCTCGGACCCCAGCCAGGGAGTCGTGAAGGACCAACAGAAGCTAGCCCTTTGCAGCTTTCTTTCATGCCACGAGAAAGACTGCCTCAGTATTTGTAATCGGTGGAAGCATTCACTTTCAACCAGACAGTGACTGGAGATCGTTTAGATAGGAAAGATTTTCCACCATGGGCGAGCTGCTGCATAAGTTGAAAAGTAAGGATACACAAATTGGGGATAAAAGGGGGTGAGTTAGCGATATGGTAAATAATAATAATGATAATAATAATAAAGGTAATAATAATAATAATGTAAATTGTCTTGCTTCTAGTATCAGCAGGGATAGTATCGTCAATAGAGTTCATCATTTCATTTATTTGTGTGTGGGCTGTGATACTGCCCGGGTGCCCAAACCGAAGCAGGTGGTTTTCTTAGGGGGCCACACCAGGAGCCTTTGACCTAAAGGTCTGATCCACAAGGCAGTGGAGCATCGTGAGGAGATGCAGTCCCATGGTAGTCGGCGATCAACGATTGATTCGTACGCCATTTGTTCCCTCAGGATACTGGAGCCCATGTGCACCATTGGTTTGGAATGAGGGTTTTCCAACTCCCCTAGGTGGACTTTTCGTGTCCACCAACCCGGTTAAAGCGCCGGACATTCGCTTTTCGTCCTCTCACTTTCGTAAACAACACTGCTGTCACGAGAAGGCAGTGAGTAGGACTTCCCTGGCAGAGGCTATATATTCGCTGGCCATGTGAAAGCATTTCAAGAGGGAGAGTAGACTCTCCTCACTCTCGACCGTACCAGGGCATTTGGGGGCATTTACCGCTACTCATAGTCGTTTTATAGACTTTTAGTCAGTCTATATTTAAATTGTCTCCGTTTTTTGTCGTGTTCGGAGTCTAATAAGATGAGTTTCTGGGCATCTGCTAATGTAGTAAACACCACTAGTGTCCAGTGATCTTTCTTGATCTCTTAGTTTGAGACACTAATAAGTAACACTGCTGTTTGGACATCATCCCAAGCGACTTCATGGAGAATATCACTTGGAAACAACATATATAAGCGAACAATACGATTCTTAACTACATCCTCATCAGTCTGTAAAACACGAAAATATTTATATGCATATATGAAATCATCAAAAAAATCAAGTCAGTTTATGGGTCGATGATAAAACAGGGGAATAGATCACATAAATAAACAAGAAGAAATTACAAATTGATATTGTGATGACAGGTGTACCAGTTGTGATAAAAATAATAAAGGCTTGAATCAATTTTTCATGGTAGGAAGTAGGCCAACGACTTGAAAGAATGGACACAGATAACATTCATTAAAATTCTAAAATTGCGTAGTTAGATGTGTTCTGATAATTGGAAAGTGAAGTGTATATTTAGAAAAGAGGTTGAAGATAAATAATAAACAACCTGCTTGAATATCTGGGCTACCTGTTCCTACCATCTAAATATTTCAAAAAGTCATTAAGTTTTTTTGTTCTTAATACATCATTACGGCTATTGATCCCATAACCTATTCGGGTGCGTTTCTGAAAAGTGTACAGCCTTTCGTTGTACAAGTTACAAAAGGCCCAATCAGAGATATCGTGGCTGCTGGCAATATGCAGCGAAAAGAGTGTACATTATTTTAGGTGTCGATTGACTAGACTAATAACTTCTAACTGGTAACCACTCAATATTTATTGTCAGAATCGACCAAGAAGTGAGAAACGGAGACTTGTTGAAATACTTTGTGCTCAGAATTCTATATTGTACTAAAAATACAATATTGAATAAAGCTAATAATAACAAATTAATTAAAGAGTATGGAGAGTCATAAATAAAGTCGTTTATTAAAGCTAATTCGCCAAAAGGGGAGGTAAGGGTCTTACAAATTTCTTACGAATGCACAGAATTAGATTGTTGACTTGGATCTTTATAGCCTCTGGTATGTGTAAGGGATGAGATGGAACTGAATAAGGGAAACTAGTAGGTATATGATAAATTACTTTGAACGATTTGTTTTTGTCTACTACATGACCACTATTGATCACTTGTAATAGAACAGAGCTGCGTATTGTTTTGATGATACTCCCAATCACAAAGTGTTCACTAACTCGTTGACTCAGTTGTCTGGTTGGTCGCCAAATGTAGCTTTATCCACGGGAGGAGCTGAATTTTTAAATACTCATAAATGTGGTAAAACCAGATAACTTATCTATTAGACGAGCAATCATAGGTCGTCTGGAAAACTACAGACAGAGGCTAGCTTCATTAAACATCCTCTTTGTTTAGTCAGGTTTTCATTAAACCTTGTGGATAACCTATTTCAGTCAACGTATCATGAGTGAGCTTTAGCTTCTTGTTTATAGTGTTTCAGCATATCTTACTAACTCTACTTGAAAGACATCTATCTAGGTTTATCTCGTGATTAATGGATACAAAGCTGGAGGAATGCGCGCAATGGGTTGCTGAAGAAGTGTCTCTATACACACCTACTGATGCAACCACTTTCCTTTCTGTTTCACAAAACATCAAGGATATGTAATCTCTTTTTAATTTGCTCCTCACACGTAGATCTGATTGCTGAGTGTATTTTTTAAAATCGATTTAAGAGTTTCCCAATTTTCTGATTAACAATAATGAAAGTATCATTGTAATCGGTTTCGTTCATTAGAACTAGCCATCCTGCTTATCTGGCTTGCTTATGATCAGAGTATTATATTTTCTAAACATACGTAAAACATCTTGATGCTGTTTGGGAAGTGGTGATTTCACGCTATATTTGTTAATTTTGTACTGTTGGCAGACTTCAACTATCGTGTTCTCAAATCTAGTAATTTTATCGAGTGAGGTAGAGACCAAATCTGTTGTTCGTGGAAATAAATTCACAAACTGGACATCGGTATCTAATGGTTTATTCTATTTCCATAGTCACGAAATCTAGGGCCGGGAGATAAAACCTGTAGTTGCACTATATCTAACCTAACACTGGGTGAATCGTGAACGCACTGCTCTGGGTCCATAGGGAACTTTTTTTTGGTTTTTGACGGCCTAATGATATCATTAGTTTTGTTCCTAATTTTTCGAATCTACTTTTAGTTACAATGTCAATATAATCCATGAATTGTGATTTTATTTCCGGCGGAATGTTATTGATAGATTTCTTTCCAGATCGATTATGTGCATTTTTTTCACGAATCTGCTTGGTTAAGTGCCCGTTGTTTAAGGGTTCTGGAATTAGAATAGACTTTGTTTCGGCGTTAGGAATCCCATTATGAAGAATATTTATCAGTCTATACAATCATTTATAAATTCTAACGAAGTTTTCTAGAACCCTCAAAAGACAGGTACTCTAGCTTGATATAAATTTCGAGCGCTTAAAGTTGTTTCATGGAATTTAGTTTCACTAAAATAGAGATAACATTCCATGAACTCAGATCGTTAATCCTAGTGGTACATGTGAAAAACGCTGACATTTCTTGAGTTACCTGAAAAAGAAACTGGGTCAGTGATGGTCTTGACAACTTAGAAGTGCAACCTCAAGGGACAACTGCTGGAGAGTAATCACGCGAAATTTTTGCCTTTTTAATTTATCAGCGTTGCACTCTTAAAGCATATATATTGCCAAGTTCCACGTTGCATATAAATAAATGACTAAAAAACAAGTATACCTCGAGGCAACTTAATAATCAGCTAGACCATCAAGTTATCAATCCGAAACATAGAAATTAACCATTTATTTATCAGCATCAAGTATGTTTGTGGTGTGCTATGTATCTCACATAGTCGCTTACTTTTAGAACAAATCCTTCACGGTGGTCATAGCGGAGCGTAATATTAATCATTGACTGTAGATCTAACGTATGCTGTGATTCCTGTCCATTATAACGTCTTTGTTTCATTGAATGGTTTCGAAGTTTTCTAATTTGAACCACTTAGTGTTCATGTGCCACTGATTTTTGTGTCATAGAATGTTACGATATCGAATTTCTTCTCAATTACCTCCATTTCATTTTTAAAAAGTTATCATCTGATTGTACAATCTCTCTTATAGTCTCAGAAGAAACCTATGTGTTTCATTATTCATACAAAGCTGCCGATAGCAGTCACTGTTTTTTTATGAGGAAGGTTCGGTAGGAATATTAGCTCATTCTAATCCCTTATAAGTATTGTTTACACGGGAGATGAAAAACAATAAATGCCACCCCATTGGTCGTACGATAATTTGGTTACCAACTTACGATCTTGTGGTTGCTATTTGACTATAACGATTTAGCTCGACTCCGGAGCTAATAATCCTTGTCACAGACAATTGCATGAAACCCCACGTTATCACTTAGAGTAATATCGAGTGTTTGTAATTTTGAAGTAATTTATTTTTACCTCATTGTATACCACGACTATTTTAATCGTCGCCAATTCAGTTCATTCCCCAGGTTTTTTAAAGTGGATTTTGGAACGATTTCAACATCTTCGTCTTTCTTGGCGTCCCAGTTATCTGTCATGCGTTGAAGATCAGATTATGCATCCTCAAAAAGGTAAGACATCTCCTCAAGTAATGAAAACTGCTAAAGATGAGTATCATGTTCCCAGTCATCCTGCAAATCAACCACCTCAAAACCATGCGATATCCCACTACAGCTTTTCTCCTAGCAACTTACGAAGATGCTTTAGTTTGTCGGATGAGGGGAAATCGAATAAAACTAACGACCAAATTATAAAAAATTGTAGTTCCAGTATGCAGGCATCATTCTCTTCAGAGATTTTGAATGTAGAAACTAACGGTAAGAGTGACAGAAAACGATCAAGTTATCCAAGCAAACAATTACATTTGTTTTCTCACAAAGATCATCATAGAAATCATTCAGTAGCATCCTTAAATGTTAGCTCAGTGTCTTTTGCGAAAAATCATTTTCAAAATGACGGTATTAAATCAGTACCACGTCAAATTACTTCACCTCCTACTCTGGTGCGTAACATTTCAAAGAATGCCTCTAATTTTTCTATGCAACGCAGCGGCTGGACATCTACTATTCGAGATAGTGGGTTCGTAGAAGGACTACATCGCCCTTGCATATCTGGTTCTTTTATACAATCTAATTTTTCGAAATCTTCCGAAAGTTCCCATATGCATTATAATCCTAGATCAGACAGTTCGCGAAAGGCGTCTGTTAACTCCTCAAATCTTTGGTGGTACACAGGATCCAGTCGCTTGGCGCCTTCTATAAGAGCTTCCAGGTCACAATTCATTGCTTCTAATAATGTGAATGTTGTCAAGGAATACCATTGAGACTACGCGTTCAATTTATTAACTATCAGTTAGAAGTCGCCAATCCTGTTACATCTTTTAGCAAATGTACATAGTGTTTTTTGCATTTATAATACTATTATGCATTCAATAGTTACACTTTTTGTCTTTCCGAGATTTGAATAAACCTATTTTTGGATGCGCTCAGAACTAAACATACGAATTTCGTAATCGATAACATACTTAATTTAAATTATTTCGAAGAAACTCCTTCACTGCCATTTTTATCTCTGCTTTCTCTTTGCTGCCTTATCATGACTGTAATCTTTTTAGAATTGTTTATTAGAAATACAACTGATACAGACAACCGGTTTGGCTCCAATACATACGCAAATTCTTGTAGTGTACTGGTTGATACTTTTTAAGAGCAGTACTATACTAGTCCTCTTCGAGATTAATATGATTTCCAAATTTGCCATAAAGTTCTTTCTTTAAATTGTTCATATGAACTTTGCAGTCGCTGATGCGTTCTTCGAGGTCCACCATTCGCAATTTTACTTTTTCCTTGGCCGCTGAAAGCTCTTCTCCAACTTCATCATTCGACAAGTGAAAAAATGTTTCCCCAATAAGATATCTTTTTAGCTTTTAAGGTTGTTTTAGTTAATTATATGATACATGTTTATTAGTAAAATATGATAATACGAATCGACAAAACTGGCTTTTCGTAGATACATAATTTGCCTAATTAGTTTTTGCTTACACATACTAAAAGACGGGTCGAAACTGTTGCCAAGGTGTCGAGTAAAGGAAAGATTCAAGGAATTAATTAGCATATATTTTATTCATCGCTGTGAAATGATTTGGATACTACAATTCTAGCTTTAGAAATAGAAGCCATCAGGTTTTGGCAGCATCCGAACGTGTGGATCTAACTTGGACAGTTGTTGAGTCTATAGAAAAACAATTAGGGACAAGCTGATCAGCCACTTACAAGCGCTGTAATTAGTGCTTAGAAGTCCCTTTAGAGAAAGGAAATGGATGACAGCAGAGGGTAACGACCAACCTGTATGATAATAAGCTTAGTCATTTTAGCCAAGCTTTTAGTAACTTATCAATGATCTACACACCAATTCTGCGATTGTATACAGCGTAAAGTAGTAACCCCGTAGGCAATTACAGGAAGAGCGAATGTGAATGAAATCGAATGAGGAAATATGTTGGGGAACACATTAGTTAACTATTAAACGTGTTTTGAATATTCAGAAGTATATTTTCGAATGTATAATGACCAAGTACGCTACTTGTGGTACTTAACATCTGCACATCTCGAAACAATGAGACTGGTGTCGTACGTCATGATTCAAACATGACAGGACATCGCAAAGAAGCTACCGTACGTTCGTTTTGTTACTAAAACCGCGCAGAGATAATTATTGAAATAGTTATAATAATTCAAGTGACTTATCCTAAGCTTTGAGCACAAGGTTTTGAAGAGTATTGCTCCAGTGATTTTTAAAGGCTGGAACGCGTGCTGCATATCATAAACTACTATAAAAGAGGTTGTACACAAACTCAGGACGATGGAATCAAAAGTAGATAATTACTGCGCGCAGGATACATATAGACTTCCACTTAAATAAATTGAGACTCATACATAACTAAATGGTTCTAGACGAAATATCTTTCGATCAACGAGCTTTCGTATCTAGCAACAGTAGATCACCGACGTCTTCAGATAGGAACCTAGGTATATTTAACAACAAAAATATTGGTAAACTGTAGCGAGATACTGTCCTTAGTCCTTGAAAATATGTCAAGCTTTGTATTGTAGGAATGCTGGTACGTCGATTTGACTACCTCAGCTGGCAGCAGATTCAATAATTTGACCACTCGTGAGGAGTAAAAGGTGTGCTTATACTTCATTCTGCTATGTTGTGTCTTTAAATTCTGGTTGTTACCCTCAAATTTTGTGTTGGGATTGAACATCCATAGGTACTTAAGGAGGTTTCCAGGAATGTTTCAAATACTATAAGACACTAAGCCACTTTATTGATGAATATACTCTAAAGTGTAAAGGTTCAGTGATTTGCTGCGCTCTTCAAGAGGCTCGACTTTAAGTCCCCGAACTGATTGCGTGTCTCGTCGTTGGATACGTTCCAATGTATCTTTATCCTTTCGGAGTGTAGGAGGAAACAATATGTTCTCATACTTTAAGTGGGGTCAAACAAGACCGTTGGAGATCATGTGGAAGGTTCTTCCGTTAAACTGGCCAAAAGCGCACTTCAATGTTACCAGTGCAAGGTTTGCTCGGAAGTCGTTTTTGTCACAGTTAGCGTAATACTTCAAATCGTAAGGTATCGGTACTCCTAAATCTTTTTCAACTAGGGATACTTCTAGAGAGCAGTCATCTAAGTTGTATTTGTAGTCTTCAACATGTCTCAGATGGACCAATTCGAAGTGTTAAAGGTAGGTCCGTTGTTGTCCGCCAAACTTTTAAGTAGAGTCAGATCCTCCTGAAGTCCCAGCTTATTGTTTTGGTTGCAAACTCCTCTGCAGAGTTCCACATCATCAGTGAAAAGTAATAAACCAGACGACACCTGCTGTGAAAGGTCGTTTATATAAATAAAGAAAAGGAGAGGTTTTAGTACTGAACCCAGGAGGAACTCACGAGGACATTCCATAGCCTGAGAGAAAGTGAGGTTCACCCTGATCTTAAGAAATCGATTTAAATGGGAACTAAGTCAATCAATTTATGATGATTTGAAACTCGTTCGTTTGAGCTTATTGATAAGACATTTATGACTGACTCTATAAAAAGCTTTGGAAAAGTCAAGGTATATGACGTCACCCCCCCCTTCGCGATCAATGATGGTTGTCCATCTTCCCACCGTGTAAGTATTTCCGTAGACAGTCGTTTATTAGGGACTTCATAGTTCTCGAGGGTATTGGGAGAAGTGTTACAGGCCGGTAGCTGCTGTATTGCCAATCTCTGAATCGTGATACCAACCTTCGCATTTGTCACACTGTATACAACAGGTGACAGGAAAACGGCATCCAGGTCGATTACATGAGTTATTCATGACCATGGTGGAATGTGTGTTAATAGATGGATTTTAGCAGAAGTTTACGACCATAAAACAGAGAGAGATACACTCAGAATGGGTGGTACAAGAAGCTAGGGTATACTAAAACTAGACTCGACGTGGAAAACTATAAAAATCGAGTAGTACGCTGAGGCAAAACCATAGTTATTAATTTACTCGGGTTGAACTTAATAAGAAAAGTAATCTACCAAACTTAAAAGTCAAAACAGAATCTTTATATTAAAATCAGTACTACTGTTGCGTAAGCACACAACAGAACTCTGAGGAATGCAAATCACCCCAATCTCACTATTTAGGAGAAAATGTCAGGTTTGAATAAATTTTGAGGAAACTGCTATAGAAAACAATAAGGAAGTTTTGAGGGAACGGCACAGAAACCCCAAAATTTCTCCAGGTTCGGTGAAAATCGTAAGAATGTTTGAAAAAATTTGTGAGTATTGTTTGATATTCTTAAGAACTTTCATTACACTTCGGGGTTTTCCCCCAAACATTGGGGAGGGCTGCCAATTTTATATCGACTTTAAGGAAAACCCCAAAACCTCACCAAAATTCCCCAAAATAGTGAGATTGGGTATGGTTAGTAAATTTATGTACATGCACGGATTGTATAAATTATATAATGGACTTTAAGAGGATACGGATGTAAGCTCTCTTCGACGACAACTAACTCATCCTCTGCATCATTTAGATTTGCCAGCTCCTTCTAAAATTCATGATTACATACAAAACAAAAACCATTCACACTTTTTTCTGATCGTATTCGGACGTATAATCTTTAAATTTTAAGTTCCATGTTGCAAAGCTGTTTATCCTTTGTTGATCACCATGAGTTACTTCAATATCTTCCTGGCTTTAGTCAAAAAAAAACGAGCTGATGACGTACCGACATGTCGACGGCAGCTGCAGGTGGCCTTGAGTGAACAAACTTACCTCTTCATTCTTCAGTGGAAGGAATAAAATATTGATCTATATTAACCAGACGCTTGTGTACTGATTAAGCGAAGCTTCAAATCAACAAGCTCTTGCATATTGTAACATAGCACTACACAAAGATATTTTTTATCAATCACACCTAATTTATTTCTGTTGTTAATTGCATGAAGGGTCATCCTTGTATAAACTACCTGCATAATGAGGTGAACAGCTGAGCGACCATCATTGATCGCGAAGGGGGGGGTGACGTCATATACCTTGACTTTTCCAAAGCTTTTTATAGAGTCAGTCATAAATGTCTTATCAATAAGCTCAAACGAACGAGTTTCAAATCATCATAAATTGATTGACTTAGTTCCCATTTAAATCGATTTCTTAAGATCAGGGTGAACCTCACTTTCTCTCAGGCTATGGAATGTCCTCGTGAGTTCCTCCTGGGTTCAGTACTAAAACCTCTCCTTTTCTTTATTTATATAAACGACCTTTCACAGCAGGTGTCGTCTGGTTTATTACTTTTCACTGATGATGTGGAACTCTGCAGAGGAGTTTGCAACCAAAACAATAAGCTGGGACTTCAGGAGGATCTGACTCTACTTAAAAGTTTGGCGGACAACAACGGACCTACCTTTAACACTTCGAATTGGTCCATCTGAGACATGTTGAAGACTACAAATACAACTTAGATGACTGCTCTCTAGAAGTATCCCTAGTTGAAAAAGATTTAGGAGTACCGATACCTTACGATTTGAAGTATTACGCTAACTGTGACAAAAACGACTTCCGAGCAAACCTTGCACTGGTAACATTGAAGTGCGCTTTTGGCCAGTTTAACGGAAGAACCTTCCACATGATCTCCAACGGTCTTGTTTGACCCCACTTAAAGTATGAGAACATATTGTTTCCTCCTACACTCCGAAAGGATAAAGATACATTGGAACGTATCCAACGACGAGACACGCAATCAGTTCGGGGACTTAAAGTCGAGCCTCTTGAAGAGCGCAGCAAATCACTGAACCTTTACACTTTAGAGTATATTCATCAATAAAGTGGCTTAGTGTCTTATAGTATTTGAAACATTCCTGGAAACCTCCTTAAGTACCTATGGATGTTCAATCCCAACACAAAATTTGAGGGTAACAACCAGAATTTAAAGACACAACATAGCAGAATGAAGTATAAGCACACCTTTTACTCCTCACGAGTGGTCAAATTATTGAATCTGCTGCCAGCTGAGGTAGTCAAATCGACGTACCAGCATTCCTACAATACAAAGCTTGACATATTTTCAAGGACTAAGGACAGTATCTCGCTACAGTTTACCAATATTTTTGTTGTTAAATATACCTAGGTTCCTATCTGAAGACGTCGGTGATCTACTGTTGCTAGATACGAAAGCTCGTTGATCGAAAGATATTTCGTCTAGAACCATTTAGTTATGTATGAGTCTCAATTTATTTAAGTGGAAGTCTATATGTATCCTGCGCGCAGTAATTATCTACTTTTGATTCCATCGTCCTGAGTTTGTGTACAACCTCTTTTATAGTAGTTTATGATATGCAGCACGCGTTCCAGCCTTTAAAAATCACTGGAGCAATACTCTTCAAAACCTTGTGCTCAAAGCTTAGGATAAGTCACTTGAATTATTATAACTATTTCAATAATTATCTCTGCGCGGTTTTAGTAACAAAACGAACGTACGGTAGCTTCTTTGCGATGTCCTGTCATGTTTGAATCATGACGTACGACACCAGTCTCATTGTTTCGAGATGTGCAGATGTTAAGTACCACAAGTAGCGTACTTGGTCATTATACATTCGAAAATATACTTCTGAATATTCAAAACACGTTTAATAGTTAACTAATGTGTTCCCCAACATATTTCCTCATTCGATTTCATTCACATTCGCTCTTCCTGTAATTGCCTACGGGGTTACTACTTTACGCTGTATACAATCGCAGAATTGGTGTGTAGATCATTGATAAGTTACTAAAAGCTTGGCTAAAATGACTAAGCTTATTATCATACAGGTTGGTCGTTACCCTCTGCTGTCATCCATTTTCCGTCGGATGTGTGATGGAGAGTGATTTGTTGTCTGTTTTATCAGACATGTAAATAGTCATACTGAGGTCGATTTGATTGCTCCTCTTTTATTATTACTAATTCTCCATTAGTTTGATCGTGTGGGTGTTTTGTGGAAACTCATTTACTTTCTTGTCAGGCTAATCTCGTTTTTTTATCTGAATTGTGTTGAAGTCTAGTAGATTATATAGTAGGAGGAAATCTGATGGATATATTCGTTTGAGGTAAATAACGTCCTATTTTGAGCGTTAAAACACCTACTTATGCTTTCAGCTTCTTTAAGATTTTGAACATTCCCTTAAGCACCTACTTGGGTTTAGCTCGAACATAAATTTAGGGGAATAATCCAGAAACTGGAGACACAACTTATACACCTTAAGAGTAGTTAAATGCTCGAATTGGCTGACGCATGATCTAGTCCAATTGATTTCGCAGGAGGCCTTCTAGAGTGAACTTGACATATTCTTAAGGACTGAGGATAGTACCCTACTACGATTTATCCTAATGTTGACACATGTATTGTAGTTGGACAATAATTTAAACAGCAACACCTGTTGTTGAATCTTGCCCACCCAGTGATTTGGAAAGTCAGAAGCGAGGAGGTTGGGAGATATATTTGATAGATTATCAATATATCAAGAAGTGACTGAACTAAACTGGTTAGTGAAGTTGAGCGAAGCATTCCCACTCGTGATCTGGTGCGCATGCATGACCGAGCGCCCACAGCTAGGTGAGTTCATTAAAACCATTGTGGTCAGCATCCAATGTCGAAGATTTACAATGCTATTTATTTTGGGAATTTTTTTACCGCCACAACCAACTTCTTTTTCCCCTTTTATCGTTACTATTCCTGTCTGGAGTTATCGTTGATCCACTGCTACTGGATGCTCGTCAAGCGGAAGCTTTTTGTACTCCGTCTACAACCATTTGAACCGTTAAATCTGTGTTTAAACGTCTGAAATTTCAATGTAATGAGTGAATAACTCGGAAACTCAGTCGTTCCTAGATTGAAAAATAGTTTCCAGTTGTGTGGTGTGGAATACCAAGTCAAATTATGAGCCGGAGGTTTTCGTCACTTTATGTAGCATATAATGTCGTGTGCAGTACAGAATCCCAACGGGCTTCCACATTATGTTGAGGGTGAACTAGTCAGAAATTTACTTGAATTTCTGGGTGTAGTGAGCTAGTTTAGTCTAGTCTTACTATCAATACTTCCAGGTCAAAAATGTACGGGTTATGGATGATAAAATTTGTCCATTGTACCATCTGCAGACTTTTTCAACATTGTACTTAGAGTATGTTAGCTCTCTAAGCACTACTGCAAAATGTGAAAATGATCAGTAGGAAATGCTTACGAAGAAGCTTAAGTCGAAATCGTTCTGATCACGCGGTTTTGGGGCTAATTTTATTAGTCTTGGCTGGCCTATGTGGTAACGAAATTAGGGCAAATTAACAGCATCTTCTATAACAAAATGTTAATCTACCAAGAATTCGTTATGTGGATGAATTGATTTTCAATATGGCATTATTAAGCCCTTATACAAACCAACGACTACTCAGTGGGCCGTCAGAATTACCTACGTTACCATAGAAGTTTCCCGAAAGTAGACTTTTAACACAGATCGAAGACGGATGCCAGAAACGTGGACATTTCAGGATGTGTTAGAGTCGTTAGAAATTTGCAGATAAGCCTACAACAAGAATTCTTCCCAGTCTTTTTAACTCAAAATGCTACGCCACAAAAGGGACAGAAGTATGTTGGGGAATGACTGGGAGGATCTACATTGGGTCTAAGTACCATAGATGGCTTTGTTACTGTTTACCGAGTAACTAGATGAAAAGTGAGTGTAAGGGTAACATACTTTCTCCACGATAATTTGAATGTTTATGCATTCATGTTTCTCATCAATTGTTATCATTATGGACCTTTGGATTTGTCTGAAGTAGTAATGTATATATTAGCTTATTCCATCATAAGTAGACTATATCTGAGTTTTACGGTAATCAGGGATGAAATGGCATGAACAATCTATTCGGAACGCACCAGATATAAGATAAAATAAGAAAAATATGTATACTTGGGAAAAAAAGAAAGACTTATACCCTGACTCAGTAGAAAATAGATTTATAAAGGCACAGACAGCAAAAAGATAAAATATACTGAGTGATGAATCACAGTTTTGGACTTTTTACAATTAGAGGCATAAAATTTTATTCAGGTATTAACAGAAGTTATTGGACTAATGGAATTCGGCAGACCACCACTGTAGTTAGCCTGAAGACATAAGTACAGAATTGCGAGAAATAGATTAAGTCCCAAAAGACTACTACCAAGGATAAGAACAACAGTAAAAACCATATTCCTCTTTGGACGCGATAGTAATATGCCTGGAAGACATAAATCCAAAAACGCTTTCAAAATCCACTGACCATCAAGAGCGTAACAAGGCACGACATTGAGTATCACAAGGGCACCGGACAGGGAGAACAGATACCTAACCGTTGAAAAACAATTAAGGAAGTTCAAATTGAAGAAATGTAGGAAATTTAATACATCAGCTTATAACTCAATCACAAACAAGTACCCGATCTAAGAAGTTTTTCCTAGGTAGACTTATGGTAAACGTATTGAACTCACTGTTGTTCATGATCCAGAAGTCTATGACAATACTCATTAAATTATTTCGTTTCTATTAATTGTAGATATTTTTAGCAACATTTGTATGATCTGGTAGGCGTTAGAAGGTAGTTTAAATGTATGTGAACGAATAATATTGTTAATTGTTTGCATCAGAAAATCACACATTAGAAAATAAAAGTAAGTTAATTTCAGATATAATGTAAGTCGAAAACGATTAATGAATACCTCTATTTTCTCTTACAACACTTCTTCCCGGTCAGAAATAATCCAGTACAGTTTCAATCAAAATTTCTCATATATATATATATATATATATATATATATATATATATATATATACAATTACACTTTTTAGTCTTCAAAATTAGTGCATCAAATTACAACTGTTTCTCGCAAAACTTTTATTTTCTTCATCTAAAATTTGTTCGCATCCTCAAACATACATGCATGTATCCGGTCCTGGTCGTATTCCTAGCATTGCTCGTATATCCTGGGACCACCGAGTAAGTAATGCAGTTGTTAGGAAACGTGTACTAAGTAAGGATGGCAAATCGACTGATGAAGTAATGAAACTTCATCAGTTGAGATGGCTAGGACACGTCTAACGTCTGCTAAACCACCGACTGCCCCGACGTGCGATGCTTCATGGTGTAGGAGTAGGTTGGAAGAAAGCTGGGGGGGGGCAGACCAAAACATGGCATAAATCCATGAAGTCACTGACAAGTGGACTGAGCCATGTTGGTTGGTGTAGACTACCTGGTTGGGACCCGCGAGACGATAGTAACTGATGGTTAAAGATCTTGAATGACATGGCTCAAAACTGTTTGCAATGACGAAGGTGCATCCACTATTTAAGTTCTCCCAAATTCTAATCTTCTGAATTCTTCATTTCGGTTTCTTTTTTCTCTTTCCAAATTTATTTTACTGGATTATACTTTCTGAATAACATCCTAATAGTTTCGATTACTGATTATACTTTTACATCTACCACAATGGGATTTGAATCGACAATTGTATCTCTGTGCTAATGTGTTATGGCAACTCGAACTGATGTACGTACGCACGAAGTTCTACGTTGTGACTGACTAACTGTTCGGAATAACCCTCTTAAAAGGCCTTTGAGCTTTAATGAATAGAGTACAGACTTCTAGTTTGACATGTCCGACATGCTGTGTAATAAGTGACTAGTATACTAACTTCTAGTAAAATAAATAAAATCATCTTTCACGAAGTACATACAATGGTCCTTAAAGGACGTCCGACACTATTAGTGAAAATATAAATTGCTTACGTGCATAGTAATCCAAGGAAGGAAGGCAAATTAGGCGAAAGTATGGAAGGCCAACGTGGGACATAATCGGAAACCCCTATAGAAGCTACAAGATCTTCCAATGGACCCAGGAAAAGAATTGCAGGGGCTTTATGGCGATTATGCACTAAGCGTACTAGACGAGTGGAATTGTCTGGGGGACTTGGTACGACACAATGCATTGATCGAGTAGACATGACGCCCAGTGATTCACTCTGTATTCCATTGTTATTGCCACGTATAGCACCAAGATTACCACAATCAGATGTCACATTGCAGCTGGTACGCTCAGTCACAGCACGTGCCGGCAAGCAAGCATATCTTCGGGACTAAAAAACAACAATAAATTCATATCAAATATCTCAAGTTATGGTGAACAAACAACACATAGGAATTGTAAAATCGGTAACAAACTTTTACTCGAATAAATCCCGGAAACGTGAGATTATAGACCAATTTTTAACTCTAGTAATTTGGGTAATTAACAATAAAAGAAACAATTTTAATGTGATATCGAAATGCAGAACGAAAAATATTCATTAAATGTACAGTAAAATAAAACAACCAAACCTTTTATTTTCTGATGGACTTTATATGTCATTAGATATGGTATGTAGCTCTTCTAGATTTACAGCCAGTCCCAAGTCCGGGCAAAGGATGGAGGGGTAGGAATAGGGTCAGCATCCCGCTACCGTAAAAGACAACATTGCTGAAAAGCGCTAACCAGAATAAACAAATTAAATCATTTAAAATCTGCCTTCCAAGCTGAAGGAAGAATTATGACGCCTCAGAATGAAAGCCGAGATTCGTCAGAAGTCACGAGATCGATGCCACTGCTAACAACAAGAGCAACAATTTTCATAGGCACATACGATGTCCGAACAATGTAGGAAATCGGGAAGACCAGTCAAATATCTGCAGAAATGAGGTACGACTTGGAAGTCTTCGGAAAAAGTGAAACCCATTGGACACAAGCTGGACAGCAAGAGACAGATTAGGGAGAGATGCTGATGTACTCCGGTCACGAAGAAGAAAATGCTTCGCACACTCAGGGAGTTGCTCTGATACTGTTCAAAGAAGCACAACATGTGCTTGTAGGATGGGAATTTCACGAATCCAGAATCATCAAAGCATCCTTAAAAACAAAGAGAGAAGAAATCACAATGAATGTTATCCAGTGTTATGCACTCATCAATGATAGCAACGACGATGATAAAAATCAGTTTCATGAGAGGCTGCAATCGACCATAGAGAAGTGACCGGGAAAAGAATATGAACATCCCGATGGGAGAATCTAAACCACGAAGTCGAAATAGACAACACTGTTTATGAAGATATAATGGATTGAGAGAAAAAACAGAAATGATGACAGATTTGTAAATTTATGTGGTGAATTATTTCCATGCAAACGCATACATAAGGCTACATGGGTCTCACCGGACCACACCACGAAGAAACAGGTACATCATATTTGTATCATCAAACAATTCAGAAGGACACTGGATGATGTGAGAACCAGGAGAGAAGCTGACATAGCTTCAGATCACCACCTGATAACGCTCAACAACAGGTTCCAAGCCTTACAAGGTCTATTGAATGAAGAGGAATATACCATGGAGAACAACAGGAAAGGGATCAAAGAAGCACTAAGTTTAACGTGTCAGGAGGTTCCGTGCCGTGACAAGCATCATCATAAGGAATGGACATCTGTCAAAACAATGGGCAAGATTCAGGAAAGGAAGAACAAGAAGACAGCAATTAACCACAGTCGAACACGAACAGAGAAAATCAAGGCACAAGCTGAATACACAGGAGTAAACAAACAAGTGAGGAAGAGCATTGGAGCTGAAAAGCAGAAATATGTCAAACACCTAACAACGAGAGCAAAAAAATGCAAGAGAAGGCAATATGAAACAACTATATCACACAGCGAAGAAACTGGTAGGGAAATGTAGTAAACCAGAGAGATCGGTCAAGGACAAGGAAGGCAAGATAATCACCGAGATTCAAAAACAGACGAACATATGGGTAGAATACTTCGTACTGCTGACTTTACAGAGGTGTGACGGCAGTAAGGTGTTTCCTTCAGACAACCAGTATAACAGCGATGCTGCCTTTCCACAAGGAGGGGTGGGGTTAGTAAAGGTCGACCCTGAAATGCACACCTCGCCTTATCCCACGGATTTCCGTCTCCGGTGGTAAGGTCCCAACAAGTACGGAGCTAACACAAAAACTACCCATAAAAAGGTTCTTGTGTGACCGACCTCAAGCAATTGTCCGTTGGGCACTGCGGTCACGCTCTCAAGTCACTAAGACTACTTCTAATCCAATTTCTTTTTCAGGTACCTCCAGAAGAACCCTTCCACGGTGCGGGCAACCGGGAATGGATAACTGTCCTCATACCTATAACAGCACTCAACACCACTGTATTCATAATCAATCTCCATCTTCAATTTCTAATATTCCTCCTACATCGATACAACACTAATACTCCTCTTTCGGCTTCCTCCTCAAGTGTCACTATGGCCAACGATCGTAGTGAGTAAGACACTGACTCAGGTCTACTAAAACTTTGCTCTAAACTACACATTGAAGCCTTCAAAGTACGCACCCTATGTCAAATCAGACAACAGGCCTTCTTGGCTAAAACCTTGGAATCTTGTACGATTGATGTATGCTGTGTCTCCGAAACACGCATGCAGGATCCTAGTGTGGTCACTCACTTGACCTCACCTCATCGAAATGGAAAGCCGATGAGATACACCCTCCGTGTATTTGGCGACCCGATGGCTAATTCTCGTGAAATTGCAGGTGTAGGCATAACACATAGTACGAGAGCAGAACAAGTACTATTAGAATGGATCCCCGTTAACAGTCGCCTGTGTGCTATCCGACTGAATGGCTCCGTAAGAAGTCGGAAGGATAGACACACACGTCGTTGCCTTTTCGTCGTTTCTGCCTACGCTTCCACTGACTGCAGCCCTGATGAAGTGAAAGATGACTTTTACAGAAAGCTCTCTGAACTTTTTGGAAAAGCTAAGCACTCAGAAATAATACGTATAGCAGGTGATTTTAATGGCTAAGTAGGTAGCTTAAACCAGACAGACAGACATTTAGGTGGGTATTTTAGTATCCCGGCTCAGCGAACAGATAATGGTGATCGTCTGTTGCAACTATCTCGGAGAAAGATGAAACTCTTATATGTTCTCAGCCCAGACTTTTAGAACGATGGGCGGAACACTTTAGAGAACAGTTTTGCTGGCCTTTAACTACTCTACAACTACCCAAAATTCCCACATAGTCTGAATGAAACATTGAAATAGGCCCCCGACTTGAATTGAAGTTCGAAAAGTTATAGCTGATCTGAAACGAGGAAGAGCAGATGGATGGGCTCCAGAGGTCTTTAACTATGGTGGTCCAGTTTGAGCGACTAGGTGGACTAATATTTTGGCTAAAATCGGGGGAACTGAATATAATCCGATCTGACTGGTCGCAATCACTGATCGTCCCACTATACAATAAGGGGTCAAAATCATCCTGTGATAACCATAGACGGATTAATTTGACTAATATAGCATCTAAAATACTAGCCTCAATAATTATCAGGCGCTTAACTAAGACTCGTGAACTGCAAACACGAGAAAATCAGGCTGGCTTCAGACATGATCGCGGCTGCATTGACCATATATTCACTATTCGTCAGGTTTTAGAACACAGACATGCTTATCGGTGTCAGACAATGATAGTTTTTCTTGACTTAAAAGCAGCATTTGACTCTTTAGATCGAGAGGTTCTGTGGTAGTGTCTGTCATTGAAAGGTGTACCCCAGAAGTACATAAACCTTGTGAAGGCTCTTTATTCGAACACTACCAGTCGAGTGAGAGCTTATGGAGAACTGTCATTTGATTTCAAAACATCAAGTGGTGTCCGACAAGGTTGTCCACTATCTCCTTTTTTTCAGTTTCATTATAGACTTACCGCTAGAAAAATGTTCTCGCCTAGTGAATTTTCAGGAATTGGTATCCTACTAGGAGGTCCACTTATCGACTTAGAATACGCAGATGACATATTCCTGTTTGGTGAAGACGCTGACAAAATGCAGAGTCTTCTGTTAGAACTGAGTAATAATGCCAGGATGTTTGGGATGCGTTTCTCCCCATCTAAATGTAAATTGTTGCTCCAGGACTGGCCTGAGTCAACACCTGAACAAAGGATAGAGAGTGAAATAATCGAACGCCCTGACAACTTCACTTATCTTGGAAGTCTGATCAGCCCTAATGGGTTGGAGTCTGACGAAATCTCAGCACGAATTCAAAAAGATCGTTTGGCTTTTGCCAACTTACGTCACCTATGGGCCCCCAAATGCCCTAGTACGGTCGAGAGTGGGGAGAGTCCGCTCGACCTCTCGAAATGCTTTCACATGGTCACGCGAATATATAGCCTCTGCCAGGGAAGTCCTACTCACTGCCTTCTCGTGGCGGGGGTGTTGTCTACGAAAGTGAGAGGACGAAAAGCGAATGTCCGGCGCTTTAACCGGGTTGGTGGACATGGAGGGTCCACCTAGGGGAGTTGGAAAACCCTGATTCCAAACCAATGGTGCACATGGGCTCCAGTATCCTGATGGTACGAATGGCGGAAGAACCTATTGTTGGTCACCGGCTACCATGGGACTGCATCTCCTCACGATGCTCCACTGCCTTGTGGATCAGACCTTTAGGTCAAAGGCTCGGGGTGTGGCCCCCTAAGAAAACCACCTGCTTCAGTCTGGGCACCTGGGCAGTATCTCAGCCTTCACACAAATCAAATAAGATTTGTGAGGCGCATATTTATCTGGTGCTTTTTGTACCAATATTTATGTGTTTAAATAAAATAAGATAAAATAAACGTCACCTATGGCGAAGACGAGATATCCGTCTATCAATTAAGGGACGAGTACACTGCGCAGCAGTTCGTTCTGTTCTACTTTACGGCTGTGAAACATGGCCATTAAGAGCAGAAGATACTCGTAAGTTGCTAGTATTTGACCACAGATGTCTTAGAAATTTTGCTCGCATCTGCTGGGATCACCAGGTAAGTAATAGTGAGGTTAGACACAGGGTATTAGGAAATGATGGTAAATAAGTTGATGAGGTCATGAATCTTCATCGACTGAGATGGTTAGGCCACGTTTTACGTATGCCTGAACACCGATTACCACGACGCGCTATGCTGACAAGTGTAGGGGTGGCTGGAAAAGAGTTAGGGTCGGCCAAACCAAAACGTGACATCAGTGCTCCAAGTCACTAACTTCTAGTCTGAGCCATGTTGGTAGGTGCAGATTACTTGATTGCGGTCCGCGTGACTATCGTAACCATTGGTTGGAGACTCTGTGTAACATGGCCCAGAATCCATGACAACGGCGTGGGTGTTTACACTATCTTCCCTTAAACCGTGAGATTAAAATTGGTTCATATCTTTCTTTATTCCTGTACTATATCCTTATAAAATCTTTCTTTTATATATTACCACCATTAAATTAACTACTTCTATGAATACGGTGTTCATCTTGTTGTGCTAATGAAGTATGGCATTTTGAACTGATGCATATATGTGCCTGGTTCTACGTTGTAGCTGACTGACTGATATTTGTAACTCTGCCTTTTAAAACATTAAAAACAAATCTTTATGATAATGCTTGTCAAGTAAACAAACTACATAAAAAACACTTTGAGATAAAAACAGATTATTCCACAGTTGAAATCATTAGTCAATTGAAGCTAGACCACCATGGAAAACCTGGAAGTACTGAACGGCTGTGTCGTCCTATTGTGGAACTCCTCAGAAGTGCGCATCCATGATCTCACCTCGCGAGATTCGAACCCAGGATCTATCGCTTAACCTCTAGACCACTGAGTCGGCATCCAATGATGTTAATGTCTAACTTCAACCAATCCACGAAATTGAGCAACCGTCCACCATTGTCTTCAGTGAGTTACTACATCACAACAGACCTGGTTGAACTCCACTGGTCACTGCTTTCCACTAGAGCTCCAAGAAATACCTCTTGAAGACAGTCACTAGTGATCATATGATTATTATTTTTTCAAATATAAAATTACTAAAATCTCCACAACACTCCCTTCTGATAACAGTTTCGTCAAGCCCTTTATTATTATGTCAGTATGAACATATATGATCGATCACATGTTACAGCCTACACACACCCCTCTTCCTAGCTTAAATGTTAGTTGCTTAAATAGCGCGATGACTCGTCGCTTTCCTATAAATAATTCCTCAATTCTTATCAATTCATACGACTCTTGATTCGCCTCTGTATTCGCATTTCTACTCGAATTCGCTTTCTGTGCTTATGGTTAAGTGGTCTGCGCTGTACATTTCGCATTGTCTTCTAAAAGCCATACATCATTTAAAGTTATCTAATAACGATTATCAGGACGAGTGATATACGAAGCCTTAGAAATTATCTCGAAGATAATCCCACAACAATACATAAATCAAATGAACTCGACTATTTGAAAACCAATAGGATACATATATATATATATATATATATATATATATATATATATATATTTGCTACCAATACATTGTTTACGACAATACTACAGTTGAATATTCAGGAAAGTACGTGGGTTCAATCACAAACATTTAAATGGAATACCCTACTCTACATCTAAAACAGAATTTAAATAAAAATAAGCATCTGTATTCATTGAACCAATATTAGAGACATTACAGACAAAAACCATGACATTAAATTTCACTGACCAACTCAAAACTACACTATTATTTTTATTACCACTCAGATGGATTACAAAATGCAGCAGTAATATAATTTTAAACACTGTTCAAATTTAAGCCGTAAAATCATTGAATAAATAATCTATCCATCTACATATATCATAAAGGTAAATACTTAGAAATACACTAAAATAATTTTTAAATGAGAATACAAAACTGAATTTAATAATAATAATAATAATAATAATAATAATAATAATGGAACTTTATCTTACTGTAGAACTCAGCTTTGTAGGTGTTATATAGGTGAAACACAAATGAGTTGACGCTGACTGAACTGTGCAACAATCTTCATTTAGTTTATTTTGATTGCTGACTGATTCGAAACTATCATTTTCATCCAATTTATTGACAGAAACAACCGCAGATAAACTACGACGTGGAACAGAGGCTTTATTATCTATCATGCTTAAATAGGCTCCAGAAACACAGTAACCAGATGGGTGAATGTATGCCTCCTCTAAACATTTGAACCAATCAGACTGTTGATTTACTGGGCAAGAATTTACCCGAGTGATAGCATCACCAAGAGCAAGCCCACGATGTCCTGTGACAACAGAATCCTGAAAAAGAAATCAAGGAAATATATTGACTGTTCATAAGATATACGTGCGCCTATCCTAACTTTTGGACAGATAAGTTATCTAGCATATGATCACATAGCATATGATGTTCAAGTGCAGACAATATTAGGCACTGTTTGGTGACCAGAGATTAGGCAGAAGAGACGGGCATGCTTGTATGCATAGGATTTAATTCACTTAATTGTTTCTTCTCGATTTCATTAAACTTGTGCACCAGATTTAAAACAAACGAATCTAGCAGTACGTTGGATTTAGTTAGTTAGCAACGATCGATGTAGAGTCTGATACATATGTGCTTTGGCACAAATTCATATACCACATTAGCAAGATAAGATAAAATGAATGAGAATGGAACCGAAATAATGTAACAGAAATGATAATGAGTGAGATTAAACATTGAGAATATGGTATATAAAAGGTAAAATTAAAAGGTATGTATAAAAGAATACTAGAGGAAGAAGAATCGTGAATGAATATGCGTCATTATGATCGATTCTGAGCTGTCACTCAACGTCCTCAACTACTCATTGAGGTCTGAGAGATAGCGGGAATCAGTTACCTTTGACAGAGTGCTGGATTATATATAAATGATGCGGCTTACTTTAAATACTGGACTATCAGCTTGTTATACTTTTTCCTGTACACAACTCTACAATCAACACACTCAGTTGAACTCGATCCATTTGAGAACAAGGATAGTATACACATGAGACATGTCACAAAGATAAATGTTGTAATAAGAGTTAAAAAACAGAAACACAAATGGTCACATTAAAGTTGTATCGGAAAGTTCTTATCATTTTCGGGAATTGTTTAACAGCACTGATAAATTAGAGGGTTAATCAGTATATTCGAATCATTTCCTTACTGATAATGTTAAGTTAATTTATTAGCCAATCTTCTTAAATCAGCTGGATGCAGGGTGAACATAATACCTCAGTTCGAATCAAAACTAGGTTAGTTTATGTACAGAAAATTGAGGGCAATTATAGTATTTCAGATTACTTCGAGCTTCTGGGACCCTACTAAACATAGCACTCTGATAGATAATCATCTAATCAAGAATATGAAACGCGACTCTTCACTTTGTAGATGCTTTTGAGAAACTTCTACTCAATGCTGGTTGGATAAAATGTTTCCGAGAGTTTTCAGGGCCCCTTTGGGCATTTTTCGAGGAATATTGTGGGTCTACCCAACAACTTGGCGCTACAATTGAACGGTGTACAGTTGATGTTTACGTGTTAAGGTTCCGAGTCTTGTGTTGATTTACCTTTCAGCTCAATATGAATGAGAAATAAAATTTCTAAAAATGACAAAACCCTTTCATATTGAAATTAATACTAGCTGTTTACAAATACAATAAATAATTTTCGCTTTCTGCAGGCCTAAGATGCTTTGGAAAAATTATAAATAAAACTAGATATTACCGCCTGAACAGTGTTCAAATGTATCGGTAGTGAGGCAAACAGAAAAGACTATTAAAGATTATGAGTCGCGATGCAGAGGTATTAATAGACAATAGTAAAAATTTTCCTTACAATCGAAATAACTCAGAAAAAGTAAACAAGAGGTATATCGGATAACAATAATCTCAAATTTTATTCGGGAAGTTTAGTTTAGCTAATTAACTATCTATTATAACACAGTGTATCTATAAAATATATGAAGTGGTGTAATCAGATTATCAATAACCAGAATGGCAGTGCTGTTACGACAAACAGTATTGAATTACACGCATTTTCGTTTATTTTGACAAAGAGGATTTGTATTTCTTTTTAAATGTCTGTAACTAACCTCTCTTAAGTATGTGACACCCACCCCAGTTCCTACATGGTAGCCGGGAGATAACAGAAAAGGTAGTAAATAAAATATAATTATGCTGATTACGGCAATTACGGCATTGTGCCAAACACCAGCGCAATATACACGAAGCTGACAAAACGGTGAAAGACTTTGAAGATCTGCGGCGTTGAGGTCAACGAATGCACCCGGATAAAACCCAAACACAAAGATTCCAAATCCATGAAGGCGAACGCGTTCACGCACAGCTGCCAGAGCGTGTCCTGCTTCATGTATGAATGCACATATAAGCAATGTGAGAGCATAAAATCCCAAATGACTGGTTGGTAAGTTTATTCCCGGCATCTATGGTAAAAAGAATACTGTGAGCAGTAAACAACTGAAATAATAAGCAAGAAAAAAGTACAAAGGTGCTATAAAAGAAACTTTAACGCTTTCGTTAAAATTAGTACGCTTAAAAGATAGGTTACTTGGATGAGGACAAGTTCCTACTACGAATGTTTTAACATTAGTTTTAACGTATCATTAAGTGAAGTAACAATAGGCTACTGGACAATTCTCAAATCATACACCCCAGTGTAAACATTTTATAAGGAACACATATACAAAGTGAAAATAAAAAATGTTTTAATTTCACATAAAACAAAAATAAGCCATCGTAAAGGTTTGTATCAGTGGATATAGGAAATGCGCCCCCAAATGCCCTGGTACGGCCGAGAGTGGGGAGAGTCTACTCTCCCTCTCGAAATGCTCTCACATGGCCAGCGAATATATAGCATCTGCCAGGGAAGTCCTACTCACTGCCTTCTCGTGGCGGGGGTGTTGTCTACGAAAGTGAGAGGACGAAAAGCGAATGTCCGGCGCTATAACCGGATTGGTGGACATGGAGGGTTCACCTAGGGGAGTTGGAAAACCCTGATTCCAAACCAATGGTGCACATGGGCTCCAGTATCCTGATGGAACGAATGGCGGAAGAACCTGTCATTGGTCAACGGCAACCATGGGACTGCATCTCCTCACAATGCTCCACTGCCTTGTGGATCAGACCTTTAGGTCAAAGGCTCGGGGTGTGGTCCCCTAAGAAAACCACCTGCTTCGGTTTGGGCACCCGGGCAGTATCACAGCCCACACACAAACAAATGAATGAAATTATGAACTTTATTGACGATATCCCTGGTCATACTAAAAGCAAAACAATTAACATTATTATTATTATTACCTTTATTATTATTATTATTATTATTATTACTTACCATATCGCTAATTCACCCCCTTTTATCCCCAATTTGTGTAACCTTACTCTTCAACTTATGCAGCAGCTCGCCCATGGTGGAAAATCTGTCCTATCTAAACGATCTCCAGTCACTGTCTGGTTGAAAGTGAATGCTTCCACCGATAATGAATACTGAGGCAGTCTTTCTGAAACCACGTACGCCGTTCAAGCTGGCTTCCTTCAACGTTCGCACACTAATGCATATCAGACAACAGATAGGGCTGGCTATGTCTTTGGAAGGTCTTAATGTTGATGTTTGTTGTCTATCCGAGACCCGTATTCAAGACTCTAGTGAAGTACTACAAATCCGCTCTCCATCTGTCGCCTCGAAGAGCTTGTTCCACGTGCGCTTATCCGGGGACCCTGTGGCATCTTCGTCTGGTCTTGCTGGCGTTGGTGTCGCACTAAGCGATAGGGCTGAGGCAGCACTAATCGATTGCATCCCCATTAACAGTCGAATATGTGCTGTTAGATTAGAAAGTTCCATCAAAGTGAGAAGAAATCGGCGTGAGAAACGGTGTCTTTTCGTCATCTCCGCCTATGCCCCGACGGATTGCAGCCCGGATGCAATCAAGGATGAGTTTTACCATCAGTTAACAGTTCTTCTCCAGAAAGCGCGTTCGACAGATATTGTAGTACTAGCCGGAGACTTGAATGCACAGGTCGGGCGTCTAGGCACAGAAGAGAGTCGTTTAGGTGGCCGATGGGGACTTGTTGGTCGCAGGACAGATAACGGGGACCGTTTGCTGCAACTGTGCACAGACCACAACCTGTTTCTGGCCAGCACTAACTTCCGGCACAGTCATCGCCGGTGTGCCACCTGGCGTCCTCCCTCTGCATCCCAAGCCTGGACTCAGATTGATCACATCGCGATCAGCTACCGCTGGCGTGGTTGTGTACAAGACTGCCGCTCCTTTTGGAGTACCTATCTGGAGTCTGATCATGCCCTGGTCTGCGCCAATCTCACCTTACTTTTCAGTGGCCGAAGGATTGACCACCACCAATGGATTGATGTTAGTAAACTGGCTGCAACTTCTGTTGCAAGTAAGTATCGAGCGGAGCTAGCCTCTAGGCTAGCTATCACCCCACCGAAAAGTATAGATGAGCATTGGTTGCATCTTCACGACGCCATGAAAATGGCGAGTAAAGTCGCTTGCGGCTTCGCGAAACATCCCGCTTACAAGCACTGGGTTTCTTCTGGCTCCTTACAACTGATGGAAGCCCGTCGGTCTACTCCGGGTGACCGTGAGTTTGACCACAAACGAAGGCTGTTACGTAATGAAATCGGGCAAAGCTTGCGTAAGTGTAGATTTTTGATTTCGTTAAACTGTATATTCATTTGATGATTTGATTACCTGAAGATTTCAGACAAGTTTGCTGGACGAAACGTTGGAATTCTTTAAATTTCAATCGCTGAGATTATTTCAGATATAATTTTTATCTATTACGATATGGACTGTATTTTATGAATCAGTTTCGAATATGATAAGGTTGATTGAAGAGGTGGACGAAGACTGTTTTTGAAAAACGTTTCCAACATCGGTTTTCTAGTATTTCTAATGAACGTATTGAATAATCACCTTTATTATTTACACTTTATAATGATACATTTCCGAGTGTTCAAAGTGTTTTCCTGTATTACCAAATAAGTTCATATGTGATTACTAGAATCTGTTTAGAACGAATTTGGAAATTTTTAATAATATAATTACTGAGTTTCGATTGATATTGTAAATGGATCAATGTTATAACACTATTGAAAATCTGGAAGCACTATTGTGAGGCAGTTAGTTACTGAAGACAATAGTGGACGGTCGCTAAATGTCATGGAATGGTTGAAGTTAGACATTAACATTGCTGGTTGCTGGCTCAGTAGTCTAGAGGTTAAGTAATCCCGAGTGAGATCAAGGGTCCTGGGTTCAAGTTTCACGTGCGGAGTCGTGCATGCTCACTGTTTAGGAGTCCCACACCGGGATGAAATAGCCGTCTAATGCTCTCATGTTTTTAGTGGTAGTCCAACATTGATTCATTCATGATATCAATCTAAACTCAACAATCTCTACAGCCCTATACAGAGAATAATTACTCACAATACCATCAGTTATTCTACATTTAATGTTGAGTAAACAACTAGAAAAATTCACTACCATATTTAAAATATTTTCATTTGAATGTTATTGTACATCTGGAAATATTCGTATTAGCAAATAATGGTAGATTAACCAGCTTTCATTACACTAAATCATTACATATCCAGTTCATATCTCTTACTATTTACCTCAATGTGTCAAAAATAACAAAAGTTATTTATTTCCTCTAGATGATTGTGAGAAATAAGATGAATACTCTGGTATCTAACTGATACCAGAAAAAATTCGGAAAATATAATCATGTAAAAAAGACATATTGATCAGATTTTAAGTCAGAAATCATGACCCAGATACTCAATTTTATCAAATGCAACTGTTCTCACTTTTACATAAATCATTCGATACATTATAACAATTATATTATTTACATATATGAGATGAAAGTCCATAAGGTTTTGGAAAATCTATCTTATACTGTAAAAAAAGCATGAAGTATGCAGGACATATTTAGTAGGAAATATTTCCTTGAAAGAGCTTGGATCAGATTGCCAGGAGAAACGTTGGATTTACTTCAAATTCATTCGCTGAGATTTTACAAATATATTATACCTATTTAATGTTTTACGTCAACTCGGCGCCCAAATACTGTAAAACTATTCGCTCTAATTTAGACGAAAGTTATTATATATGCAGGATATAGTCATTCGAAAGAAATGGTTATGTTTGGTAATGTGAATAATTATCAGACAATTAATACTGAATAACTGATTGAATCATTTGATTTAATCAACTTACTGTAATATATTTAGATAGTTCATCTGCATAAGCATTTCGTGGACTCTTAGGATTACAATTACTTACTATCCAAGCGACAGCTCTATCTTTTCCTTTGGCTATATCCTCCAATTTTATCAACTGGATTGTTTTATTGATATCTGTTTTAGGTTCATCTGGTGTATACATTCCATAAGGTGTGCGAATAGTTGAATCAAATCGATATGATGCAGTGAAGTTAATCTGAGAAATATACAATAAATAAAATGAAGGTTTCTATCAGATAAATTTTTTTATCCTACTAGACGTTTAAGAGACCCTATATCTATTCTAAGTACAAGTGACATCTTTCACTGTAGATGTGTAAAAGTAAATCATCAGTAGATACTAGACTTAAAAACATTTTGAAAAAAACATTAGGCCAAAAATATTAGCCATCACTATTGTGTACAACAAAACACAAAGCATAGAGAAACCAACTCAGAGAAAACCCAACAAAACATAATGCAAATCTTATAAAATTTTTACATATATAGGGAAACCTATGATTGTCGATTTACTCTGAAATGTCTACACTACAACAACTATCGACGAAAAAAATTTGTCAAGTTACTCTAAAATCATATGAGTTTTTTCTACTGACTTCAGTCAGCGGTGAACAGTGTCTACAAATTAATTATTGATTGTATGCATGCTTTCATTTGTCTATGAAGTATGGTAGTTAATTAGACGGAGACAAAAAGGAATATTATAACAGTACTTTGTTCTTTCAAACTGTAATTATAAATCATTATTTACCTGTAATTATTTGAATAAACTTAACTTTATCAGATTGGATATTCGAGACGGATAAACTCACTTTATCATTAAGTTCATCACTAAATCGAGTATGGAGGGCTGATTCATACTCAAATGCCACCCAAGCCTGTTGATGTGGACGCTTACCGGAAGGAAACAATCTGTTTGGAATTAAAATAAGATCACTGTTAATCCAACGAGTTGTATCATTATGGATAACGCAATTGTTCACTGGACAAGTTGTTACATCTTTGTTCATTTCTGCCAACATCTGCCCGTATATGATAATTTCATATTTCTAAAAAAAGAATTTTGAGATAATTTTGAAATTCAGACAATATGCTACTAATATAGTACTCCAAATGTGAACAACATTTGACATACTTGTTATATCCCGATGAGAATTCTGAACGATAACATATAAAGATTATTTATGGACTAATACGATGCATCTATTTTTATTGTAAAATTGTTAAGTAACCAAATTATGCATACTCATGTTCCTCGCTCAAACAGAACTGAGTTTATTTGATTATTCCGAAAATTGCCAGCTAGATCACGTTTGAAAACATGCAAGCACTGGACAGCTTTTTCGGCTACGCACCGGACTCCTAAGCAGTAGGCATCCATGATCTCGCCACAGGGAATCGAGTAAAAATCATTCGAACTCGTTCGCAAACGCTTAACTTCTAGGACCACTGACTGGTTATCCAACAGTGTACATGTCTAAACTCAATCGATTCACAGTACAGCAATGTCATCTTTCATTACCTCAGACGTATAATTGTCTTACACCTACTGCGTTCAGGCATTCAATCATGTTCCAGCTGTATCTGACTAATATATAATCATTAGATTCGTAAGCCATTTTAGTAAACTGCTAAACCGAATTCTCATTTATATATCCGATAGTCGACAGTCATAAGAAATAAAGCAAAACTTCAATCCTCCATTTTGTTTATTTCGATTGAAAGTGTTTTCGATTATGACACGTTCACATGCACACAAGATAGTCACCATTAACTTAAAAATAATCTATAATATAATCGAAATATTTTACTTCACACAATGTCAGTTATTGAGTACGAGTTTTAATACTAATAACAAAATAATAATTCACACGAAACCATATGAAACATGTTCAATTGGAGTATATCGATTTAATATAGGCCCATAACACAATTAGTTGAAGAAGTTCAAGGTGATTCAAGTTTGATGATAAAAGTAAGACAGGAATGATTTGTTGGGGCGAACAATACGAAAATAAAATCGAATCAGTTCAACTATGTGAAATAGATTTACGATTTGTTTCATATACGTGAATTGACAACATCTAAAAGAGAACTGTGAAATTTTAGTCTCTATCTGTTCATATACAGTCTACAGAGAAAGAATTAAGCATTTGATAAATCTGGTAGTATCAGTTTTACTCTGTGATTGCAGAAGAGTCCAAATAACGGACTTCGTTATTTGTAAAACAACATAATAATTGAATAGGTGACATCCAGACATATTATCATGAGCACTCTCATTAAAATGAAAATGAAAAGTAATCAGGTTGGAAATAAGTTTAGACTAACCTTGGTTTTATTTAACAGAAGACGCCCAATCATTACGTCACTGAAAAAGCATCATGTACTCTAGAATGAACAATGTCTCACTTTCTGAAATCTTTGAAGTTTGGATAATAAACAGGCTGTCTAACAAGATTCCATATTGCTAGGTTTTGGTAGTTTGAAATATACTGTCCTATTTCGTTTAGACTAAGACCCCATATGTACCAAACACCAAAGCTAGCAGTGCACACTGCCAAGATTATTATAACTTTGAGTCTAACTACTGAGCTGATTCTAATGAAGTCTCTAAGAGGTTCCATAGTGAAATTAGTAAAATAATCCTTCGTCTCATTGAGTTTTATTAATTTATGAATATATATTACTAGTAAATTTAGAACACCAATAAATAAGCTTTTCAGTAGTTTGAATGTATCCAATCCGATTTAAAAATAAAAACCACAAGGTCTACCCAATTAGATTGATCGTGTTCTAAAATATCAATAAGCTTGCCAAAACGATTAAACAGAATGGATGTAATTGGTGAAGATTTAAATTGAACATATATCTTCTCCATTTTGTTTCTGATTACTTTAAAAACGAAGAAATGAAAATATTGAATTTCAGATGACATCAAGTGTTAGATGATTTGAGTTGACAACACATTACTGTATACTAACCTGATCAGAGAATAAATCAAACATCACTTCACGAAGGGAACGAACATCGGGCGTTATGCATATAGTACCATGTATAGAAATTGCATTTTCTCAATATATCATTGTTTTTAAAACTCAGCAATTCCCTGAAATAGCAACAACGAAAACTTGCTAGAATTCTGTGATTAATTTATTAATCAGTTTTATAAATGATAAAGTTAATAACAGTAATAAATGTTCTGAAGTTTTTCGAAAAGTAAATGGGTCAGTTTATGAAGGTGAACATTAAGATGATTTCGTGATTATTTAATTTAGATATAAATAATTTTCTGTTGCGATGCTTACTTTGGCTTTTACTTTTTTTAGGGTAACACCAAAATGAAACTTTTATTAAACAGTAAAAGCTTTATACGTCAGAAAGTATGCTTCCTCTAATAGTCACTATCAGGTATTGGTATTAGTCTTCAATTCCACAAGTGAATTCTTATATTTTCGCTTTTGGTAATTATAAGAAATCGTAAATACACATATAATTGATGTCTCTGGTATTAAAATAACGTCTATAAACCAAACGATCTAGATAGTTTCGTCATCAGATCAAGGTCCATCGTTTAGGTTACCTATTGAATTCAGTTGAGTCTATAAAAGAATTTGTGATATGAAATTTCAGTTAGGTTTTAAGTATGATAGGTACATACTAGTAAATGTATTCCATAAATGGACCTAGGGAGAGCAAAGTAATCATTACCTTTGATTCGATCGAGTCGTTTTTGAAAACATTACATTTCGTTTCTGGTGTCATTTTACTTGAAGACCTAGATCTGTACAAAGATGAATGTGAAGGTGAAGGTCAAGATGCATCAGCGGTGTTCCATAGGATGATACGTGTTGAAGTTTTAGTATATTAACCACCGTAGTAGATTCTTTTAGAAGGCATGGATTTTTATTCCTACTTAATAAACTGATTCATATAGGTAAAAGGCGGAGGAAATTCTGGCTAGTCTTTGTTTCATGCATTTTGCACAATTCAGTTAGTCCGATAGAAGCAAATATTTTTCAGGGAACTAGTAGACCATGCCCCTGATATTTTTTCAGAAAAGGCATTGATTTTACGAAAAGTTGCATTTTTTTTACTTCTAACTCCCTTTCGGTAACTGTGGTGCTTCAAGAATTTGTGAGAAGTCAAGGGCCTAATAATGGGACACTGCATGAATAGACAGGTGAGTTTACTAACCATTTTGATGGTGTCTTATAGATGTAGTCAATGTCTACTAATGCATTATGACGGGAGATTCCAAGAATTCATCTGGGATGAGTTAAGTATTTGGTCACTGAAGTGAATACACGACTGACTGGTGCGAGTATCGAAGTAGCTTAAAAGCCAAAAATTAATAGTTTGTTCACCGAACAAATTCGGAATTTCAAACTGACCAGGGTTCAAAATCTATAAACATCAGCCAAATGACCGAATATAGAAATGGCCTTTCGTTTGTACGAGAAATATTCACCCACGATAGAAAGACTTGTCAGGTTTCAAATGCGAAAACGCGATCAACAGATAAATGATGTGAGCTATAATTGGTTAACTTGTCAGAGAAATATGTCCACTCTATAATTCTTGGTACAAATCTATATGTTTGTATTATGTTATATCTAGAGCCTTGATTCTTAATATGCCGCGAACTACTTGACTACTTGAACGATAGAACCCGCAACGTCGCAAAGAGAGAAGACAAAGACTGGTAAGCAGGAAGTTTATTGCCCCGAACAATGTCAAAATATAGCACAGAAATCTCGTGTATTTATAGTTATTGGCTGAAAATAAATTATCATTTAGGTCAACCAATAAGCGCATAGGTATCAAACTAATCCATCCAATGGAGAAGCTCCACGTTGGCATTTCTAGAACATTCCCCTAGCCATGATTGGATGGAATGTCTGCGGCTTTTCCTGGGCTTCTTAAGGCTTCCTAGAGTCTACCGACGGGCCGTCCTTACATATTATAACTCGGATTTCACTGTAGACTGTGTTCTGTTTTTCGAATGCGATAACTTGAGTTAAACAATCTACTGTCTGGTTTTATCCGGTTCTTGATTTTTGGTTGTGAATCGTGCATCTAGATATTACATGATCCAGTCTTTATCTAGTGGTATGGCATTATCCTATTGTCGCACTTTATCCTTGGTATGAAAATATTATATTTTTTCCGTAACAATGAAGATTAGGAATTTCGCTTTTCCATTTTTAGCATAGTTGTAGGTGAAGCCAAATCGCTTACTCATATCCATCACAAAAAGGATTTGTTATTGTATTGCCCCTATGCTCGATTAATTGTATCACGTGATACAACCGCCAGTTAGAGATGCCAGCTTATACGACCAAACTAATGACTCATACACCTTTACGAGCAGCCTAGAATTCCTATTGGTCCTCCGAAATAGTAGCTTCTCTCCCAACCTAGCCGATCAAACGTCAAATGCCAAACCAGCCTCCGCGATACGAGCCATGTATTTTAGACATACTGGGTTTATTTATAAACAAACCAGACTGTTTCATACCATAGAAAATAACAATTATACAAATCAAGCCAAAAAAGGGCTGTGAATGTGAGAGACCGTTACTAATAAATTGGCAAAATCTCAAGAATAGTAAATCATATGATCATAGTCAATAGGTCAAATAAAAGCCTATGATGAAGGGAATATAAATAAACACATAATATAGTTACGTAATAGTCGTACAATAAGAATATTCTTATAATATTAGTCCATAAGTAATTCCTAACGGTTACCATTTATTTATTCTAGTCCGGATACAACATAAGTTTTACACAGTTAAATTATAATGCTAACTGATCTTAGACAACTACTGGAAATCAGGAAATACTGTATATCTACTTCGTTCTAGTTCTGAACTTGTCAGAAATCCATATCCATGGAGTGTCAAACCTGGATCATTTACATTTTGTAGTTAGTGCTTACTCTACCGGTATCTGTTGTTTTAGACGTCTTTCTTCCATTAATTTGCAATATTGTGCCTCATAACCATTACTGTTAAACTTCACTGGTCACAATCCCTCAGTGGAGCTCCGAAAGATACCTTTAGATAACTTTGCATCTTGGTTTTTAATGACTGTTTAAGATCATCCCGTATTGTAGATTATCATAGAGTTGTGTTAGTCTTTTGATATACTAACAACATTTTCACAGTTGAAATCATGAGTCAATTGAAGCTAGACCACCATCGAAAACCTGGAAGCACTGGACGGCCGTTTCGTCCTATTACGGGACTCCTCAGTAGTGCGCATCCGCGATCCCGCACTCGCGAGATTCGAACCCAGGAAACGGCCGTCCAGTGCTTCCAGGTTTTTGATGGTGGTCTAGCTTCAATTGACTCATGATTTCAACTGTGAAAATACTAAATTCTCCATAAAACCCCCTCTGATACTAACAACAGACAATTTATGTTTCAAGAACAAGAGAACCAGTCGTGATAATGAAATCCAGCATAAATATGAAGGCAAACATTAACCATTGGTAGATGAGTTCGAAACTACATGAGGTCAATGCAACATGGACGTCGATTCACATCCACGGACTGCAAAAGAAACTATATATAACATTTACTACTGTTTAATAGTAAGTAGTATAGCAAATTTCAATACAAAATAATAGGATATGGAAATCAGTTTTGAAATTATAGAATGAGTATTTCCCAATACGAAGAAAATTCTTAGGACTGAAGTTACTTGTCACAACTGTAAATGTAAAGTGATTAAAACGGTTCTTGTTCAAAGCAAATATTATTCAGTAAGCACTAGTAAAACTCGCTTGAGTAAATGAATACTGAAAGTATATGCGTCGATACTTTATAGTAGTTTAATCTATAATGCTAAGATTAGATTTGAAGAGATCATTCTTGGCTAGACTCAATGATCATTGAATTAATGTATATGCTGCAGTCCGCTATTTTGGTTTGTGTATCGAATTGGAAGAGATTTGGTCTAAAAAGCAGTATCGATTATTGTCATAGTTGGACTCAATCGACAGGAATTTTATTTATTCTCACTCTTCCTTCTAATTATGAGATGCCTTATCCAATGAGAAACAGTGAGGGCAAAGAGTTTTGTTCCCAATTTTAACTGCATGTCTTGCAATAAGTACCTTACAGGTTTGGGATATTTGAATATCTCTACACGAACTCACTAGCTTGCCGTGGTATGGCCGAGAATGGGGAAAGTCAGCTCTCGCTCTTGAAATGCTCTCACATGGCCACGCGTATACAGCCACTGCCAGGTAAGTCCTACTAACTGCCTTCTCGTTGCATTACTGTTATTTGCAAAATTGAGAGGATGAAAAGCGAATATCCGGCGCCTTAAACGGGTTGGTCGAAGGCTCCGGGTGTAGCCCCCTAAGAAAACCACCTGCTTCGGTCTGGGCACCCGGGCAGTAACACAGCCCACACAAATTAAGTGGCATGTGTGGCGCATATGAACTCGGTGCCCCTTTTTACCAGTATTCATGTATTCAAATAAATAAATAAACATTTGAGCATCTCACAATAACCAATCTACATTATTTGCCATTAAACATACTATTTTATGTGATGTTATAATAACTAGATGACTGAAGCAAGAGATAGTTGTATCAGAAAGTTAAAGGATCTTCTGAAAAGGAACTTAATTATTTATGCAACATATGATGAGATGAAACCTCAGAGATCCAGATTACCTTATTTATTTCGGCTACCAAAAATACACAAACCTAATGTTCCCGTCAGACCCATCTTATCGATAATCAACTACCGTTCTCACAAACTCATATGGTAATGACAAGTTAATTAGAACCTACTCTCCAGCAGGTATCTTAGAAAACGTTGACATCT